TCATTTGCTTATTTATAAATGGATTTATTTATTTAATAACACAGAACAGAGAAGAAAAAAGTGTGAAAGGGGAAAAAAAGGAAAAAGGAAAAGCAATGCAACAAAACATCTCTATCTATCTACTTCATTTATATATCTACATCTGGGATTATACATGTATATGAAGCTAATCTTTCAACATCAGAAAGATAGCTGTATGGATGACTTATTCAGTAGATTAAAGATCTTACGTTACCTGCAACTTATGAGCCACATACAGACGTAGATTATAAAAGGCAAAGTATAATGAAATATAATCTTTCAAATGCATTTATAGTAAAACAAAACAATCAAAATAAAACACGCACAATTTAAAATTTACAAACTAGTAAATAAATTAATTACAATCTGTTACAATGCTTGCAGAAATGACATAATGTGAGGAGGGAAGTCATATACCAACAGCTCAGCTACTGTCATCTTTCCTGCTTCTAATGAATGCAGAGCAAAAAAGTGGAAAGAAGTTATGGCTGTGCATTTATTTGTGAACAATTTGGGGAGACCATTCTTGTGTCTAAAAAATTCACGAGGGAGAGCCAGTATGTTACAGTTTGTCTTGAATGGGTGGATAAGCTAAAGAAGCTCAGGCTTGACCACTGGAGGATAGCCAAAAAGCGTGAAGGACACTCTTGGCCCTAGAGAGATGCTCAAGGATGATTCTGGCTGGTGCCTTGTGTGACAGCTGCTCTCCTTCATTAGTGCTCTTTTGACATTGCCAGAGAATCTAGCTGAAGTGCAACATACACTGGAAAGTCATTCCAACAACAGCTGCAGATGTGCCATGTAAGTCAAATTGTGGGCTAGTGGGATTATTTTATTGAGCAGCTGGATCCTGGCTGGAAAAGGACAGGCCCTAAAAGAAAGGGAGCCATTGTAGTGAGATAGCCATGTGCTTATAGGAAGATAGAAAAATACCATGAAGTTGACATAGCTGTATCTGTATAGAGCCAAAATTCTGCTCTGGAGAGGAATAGCTAAGAAGACTCATGAGTTCTAATAAGGATTCAGGAGGTAGTTCATTCATTATTGTCAATGAATTGATTCACCAGTCTACCAGTTCACAGAAAAGCAATAAAAATACAACAAAGAAGAGTTTATCCTAATGACTTTAGAATATATTGTTTGTAAAGGGACAATAGTTCAGTTGCTGGATTCTTGAAATTCCCTGCCTTTCCTCTTCATAAATTTTGCTAAGGAGGCTCTGAGAATAATGGTTGGAAAAGGAGTTACTTTTAGTTCGCACAGATACTATAGAGCATGGCATGGGTATTTATTTCCTGGAGCAGTTGCCTGCATTCCTCTTTTTACTGATTCATTGTTCATTTTCAAGAAAATATACATAATTTTAATTTCTGCCACTTCTTTAATTCCAGCAAAATACAGGATGATGAGTTGAACGTTTTCGTTTCCTCTTCATTTACAGAAAAGAATATAGATTGTATATCTCAGAAAGGGACTAAAACCTGAATGGAGTAATGGGTGACATATAAATGAAATAATAACTAGATAGATAAAAATTAAAATTCTTACAGGTCTTCCAGGAAAGCCAAGTTCTCCCTTCCGTCCATATCGCCCAGGTGGCCCCTAAAAGAAAGCAAAACGGAAAACTCTATTTAAAAAGATAGAAAGAGATGGTTAAATGGGAAGACCCAGAATCACTGCAATGTTATTTTCTATTTATATCAAAGGATTCATAACCCCAGCAGGAAGCAGAAGGGCTTTGCAACTGTTCCTTCCAACAGAAAAAAATTGCCTGAGTCCTGGCAAAATCAAGGTCAAATGCAGCAACTGGACAAAAAATAGTACTAAGGCTCCTGGGGAAATTACAGAGGTCAAGAAAATGCCCTGATTTAGATATATTACAGCAGTGTTTCTCGGCCTTGGAGACTTTAAGATATGTGAACTTCAACTCCCAGAATTCCCCAGCCCATAAGATACCTGGGGAATTCTGGGAGTTCAAATCCACACACCTTAAACTTGCCAAGGTTAGGGAAACACTATATTAGAAAAAACCCTAATATTGTCCTCTGCCCCACAGAAAACCCAATGAGAGCATGCTGGACAAGCATGAAAAAACTAAGCTTCAGTATGAAAAATAACACAGGACATAGGATAGAAATGGCTGTCCTGGGCTTTTTAGGTTTAACTAGGTCTGGCTGGCAGGTTTCAGTCATTTTCAGGTGAGGATGCCTACAATATTTTGTTGCAGACTTTACTTTCATAATCTATCCATAAGATTTCCTAACTGTGCCTACCAAAACAAAGAGAAAGGGTGCGGCAGTATTTAAATCACAGACAGGACAATTACGAGAATACCATATTTTTCGGAGTATAAGATGCACCATGATTTTGAAGAGGTAAATTTTAAAAAAAAAAAGTTTTTGCACTCTGTAAGCCTCCCAAACCCTCTGCATGTCCATTTTTGCAAAGGGGGCGGGAGGCCAGAAATGCTGTATTCAGTGTATAAAACACACCCAGATTTTCATCCTCTTTTTTGGTTGAAAAAGGTGCATCTTTTGCTCCGAAAAATACAGTAATTTTATAAAGTTTCATAAGTCAAAAGAAAATGAAATAAAAAGCATTGTGAATTAATTTTGGAATTAATTCCTTGCATAAAAGCAAAGATACCATTTATAACTTACTGCTGGTCCCATGAGTCCGCTTGGGCCTGGTTCACCCTATAAATAAAAGGGTGTATGGTCAGCAAGGCACATCATTTTGGAACAGTTCCCTCTAACTGGACACCTCTGTATGAGACTTCCTCTTTCAGAATTGCCTAATTACCGCAGAATTACAAGAAGTGAAGTTTAGCGTAATCTGTAAATAACTTTGAATAGGAAGATAGATTTAAAGAATCCTAAAGCCAACTGAGGTTTTATGTCAGAAGCTGAGTTAGGGGCCCTCTTTCCTTTCTTTCCCTTATAAGGAAGTCCTTTACTATGTGAGAAGCAGATCCTTTAGTATCTTGCTGCACAAAAGCAATAGTAATTGGAAAACAATTTTTCAAATGTAAGCAAAAAAAAAAAAAGCTATACCTTTTCTCCTTTTGCTTCAGATGCAAGGATTGTTCCATCAAACCTAGTTATAACTCCTGGCTCTCCTTTTTCACCCTGTCCAGGGGGCAAAACACAAGAAGGAAACAGTGGTTTATATCATTCCCAGGGCAAATGCAGCACACATTATAAGCATCTCTTTAGTACAATGCAATCATTTTATAAAGCAAGGAGAAATTAAACTGGATTCCAAAGTACCAAACTATTTTTTGCACTTATACCCAAGGCATACATATTCCCATTTCTGACACAAATTAAGTACTGAATGCAATTATTATTCTGAAGCTAAATAAAATATTATCCCAACTCTCAATTTTTAAAATAAATTATTCAGTAAGCAAGTTGCATGTACTGTAAAAGCTGCAATACAGGAATGAGACGAATCATGCATTTTGGCTAAAAACTCTTATAATTTTTACTTCTGACTGTGCTTCTTTACTATGTTAGGGTGATCATGCAGCGACATGGTCAGTACAATTTTACAAGGGAATGTAATATCTAACTAAACCAATCTTAAATATGGTATTTCCTAAAGTATTTGCACATTATGTATATCTTTGCTGTAAATTTCTACAGTGGAAAAAACATGAATATGGCAATAAAATGGGGTTCTTTTTCCTACCAATGATTACACAATAAGAGATACTGCTCATTTAACAAAGGAAAAAATAAAACACCATACAAAAGACATTTTAAATAGGGGAACCTGACTAGTAGCAATAGCCATTTAATCAGTTATTTTTAGTTATACTCTTCTTGTTTTCCAGAAATTCAATTACCAGCACATCATCAAATCCAATTTCTCCTGCTTCATTTTCTATTTAGCTTTTCCACAAATTCTAACCAATGAAAATGCTTGCTAATATTATTCTAACTTAAGGAAGACTTTTAAGGGAAACTTAATTTAAGGTTGAAAATGAGCCAGGGATGGCACTTCTGATGATAGAAACAGAGTCCGTTATACAGCAATAGTAAAATTAGAAGCAAACTAAAAACATCTTGGATAAGAGACAATCTTCCATTATGATAATGATCTTTCAACCCAGATTTCTTTTTAAAAGTACTTTATACAATCTTACCTTCAGTCCAGGATAGCCTGGAGTTCCCGAGTCACCTTTTGGTCCCCTGGGTCCCTAAAGAGGAAGGTAGACATTTCCTGTTATCAAATCTCATGTCCGATTCTTTCATGGGGCTAATGGAGCAATTTTATTTTTGAGCGCTTTTATTAACTGCATATGCGTCTCCTATGGCACATTAAAGCATGTGGTAAACCACTAGGGCCTTGTTTCCTTCATTAACCTACTTTGAAATAGAACCTGCTGGAGAAATATTACCCTAAATATAATGGTTTCCTGAAGATTTATTATTAAACTGTTTCTTTCTTGGAGTTTGTAAACAGTTTGGCTATCTCAGAGTATAGAATGCTATCTCCTGCATTCTCTTCCTGTAGAAGGTGATTAATTGCTTGACTTGACAGTTAGACAGATAATGAAGTTTTCTAGCTACAAATTTGAATAACTTATAAAGGACATGAAAAAAATATAGGACAGGAGGGGAGGAGAGAAGAGAAGAGCTTTAGGATCAAAGGAAAGCTCAGAAATATTTATGTGGCCTGAAAAATATAATAACTCTCTCAGCTCCTGACACAGAGGAGCATCCAGGCAATTTTAATAGTTCTGCAAACTAAAGTTCCCTTTAACATGCTGAAAAGGAAAAGAGAAAGAAGACAGCTTTTCAATACCCCAATAACACATACTTGTTTGGTTTCATTTCATTACATGCCCAATTCTTACCTGCCTAATTCTTCACCACTACACAACAGCTTTTCCTCATTGCCAAGGTTCAAAAACTGTTATTTTTCATCATAAGGGAAGATCTTCCCTTAATTATACAGCACTTCAAGGGTACTTCAAGGGCAGTTTCAAAAGCTTGAAATTACATCATGTGGGATACCCATGTAGCACCACTTCATAATCTATGTATGTTTGTTCTGAAGAGACCTCAGATGGTCCCTTTCCAGAACAGAATAGAACTGTTTCAAAATATGCAACAGAACACTCCCTAGAATGCCTTCAGGAGAAATCTAAGTAGAGCGAATCCTTTCAGAGTGGGCATGTAGATAAGACCTTCAAAGAAAAGCAACTTCAGATCATAGATTTCATGCCTATTACTCTTCAACCACCTCCAGGACACTGTCCACTCATCCGACAATGTCCCAAAGGAAAAACTGAGAAAATTTAGCCCTACTTCTTGAGAGTTATATTGAGAAAAGATTGTCATAACTTTAATCTTAATAATAAAAATTCAAACAAGGACCAGATTTACCTAGGAAAAGCTAAAGTTTATACTGTTGCAGACAATCTAATCCTACTTTAGGCACCTAGCAACAAAAACTAAATGTTTCTAAAGCTGGAAGCAATATTTATAAAGCCTTCCTTTCTACTTACCTCTGGGCCTGGCAAAACAGGCACAGTTTTCTAAAAATAATAAAACCATTTGTTAAACATGAGATCACGACTGCTTTTCCTTAGATTGCTCAGCAAAACATTTAAAGAGAGCAGTTAAGCAACATAAAATGCTGATGAGCACGCTTAAATCTGCATCTGCATTGTATGCATTGCATCTGCATATAACTGTGTTTTCAAATACTTCTATTCGGCATATGCCTGAAAACTCAGAAATTCAGGATTTACTTTAAAAAAAAAACACAACCCAAAGTATCTTCATTCTAGATGTTTAGCTATACAATAGCAGTAATTGTATAGTAATATCTTTATGATTACAACATGTTTTTCTCAACCTTAACAACTTTAAGATGTGGGGACTTCAATTCCTAGAATTCTGGAAGTTATAGTTCATACATGTTAGTTTCTAAGGTTGAGAAATATTGGGTTAAACCAGGGGTGAAATCCAGCAAGTTCTGACAGGTTCTGGAGAACCGGTAGCGGAAATTTTGAGTAGTTCGGAGAACCGGTAGCGGAAATTTTGAGTAGTTCGGAGAACTGGCAAATGCCACTTCTGATTGGCCCCAGAGTGGGATGGGAATGGAGATTTTGCAGTATCCTTCCCCTGCCATGCCCACCAAGCCATGCCTACCAAGCCACACCATGCCCACCAAGCCACGCCCACAGAACCAGTAGTAAAATAAATGAATTTCACCACTGGGTTAAACATAAAATAGTTAACATTTAGAATTAAAGTACTGTAATTTCTGGAGCATCACTCCCTCGCAGATAACATTATTCCAGAAGAGTAACAAAATATAGTTAGTAAAAGGTAGAAATATTCTTACATCCTCACTAGACAGGTACACAGCTTGTCCTGGAGGGCCAGGTGGGCCAGGAAGTCCTATTCCATCTTGACCCTTTTCACCCTTAAAGAAATAAATAAAAAGTCTTGACATATGTTCTGCTCAAATTGTGTTCCTGTATCGTTTAGAAAAAATATTTGCAAATTTTAGCAATAGCAATAGCAGTTAGACTTTTATACCGCTTCATAGGGCTTTCAGCCCTCTCTAAGCGGTTTACAGAGTCAGCATATTGCCCCCAACAACAATCCGGGTCCTCATTTTACCCACCTCGGAAGGATGGAAGGCTGAGTGAACCCTGAGCCGGTGAGATTTGAACAGCTGAACTGCAGAACTGCAGTCAGCTGAAGTAGCCTGCAGTGCTGCATTTAACCACTGTGCCACCTCGGCTCTTTTAGATAATTTTAGATTTTTAACTTGGATTTGGGGGGAACATATAAAAATTCTCCATCCACATCTCTTAATGCAAAATTCAGTTCTGCATAGGTTGCTATTATTTGCGGGCATTCAAAGATGGAGCCATATTAATGCTAGTCATTCATTCTCCTGCCTAGCCAACAGTTCTCTCAGTCTTCTCTAAGAGCTGGGTACAGATAATCCTCCTCGTGCTTTATAATCCCAACTAGACCACTGAAGATCTAGATTGCACACATATTTCAGCAATAGGTGAATTGGAGGTATTTGTTAGATGTCATAGGAATCATCAACTAAAAGTTCTGAAATGTGCAGTTTAAAGCAAAATAAATTGTAATGTTCTTCAGACTTCAACAAAATTCCTCAGGGGGAAAAATCCAAATTTTGTATTACACAAAACACAAACATAATTTCTTCTCAAATCTAGATGGTACTCACTTTAGACCCTGGGCTTCCTTCTTCACCCTTTTGTCCCTGAAATAGGGAGGAAAAGACATTTTTAAGAAATAAGGCAATTTCACACAATGGACAACTATGGAATTGCTGTAAATGATAGTGACTGTGGTCTAGCATATGGAGGGCTGAACTAGGATCCAGAAACTGCGCTATAACTAAAAGGTCACTGTTGATTCACTTGTTTGACTTCTATTTTTCATTTCATTTGGTCTATTAAAGCATCTCAAATACTTTGGCCAACCTAATGAAAGGGCTGTTGGTGTTGGGAAAGATTGAAGGTAAAAGGAGAAGGGGACGACAAAGGAGGAGATGGTTAGATAGTGTCACTGATGCAATGAATATGAATTTGGGCAAATTACTGGGAGACAGCGGAGGACAGTGGGGCCTCGCATGCTATGGTCCAAGAAGTCACAAAAAGTCAAACACAACTTAGTGACTGAGCAACAACTTGGTCTATTCTCCTTTTATAAATGATCTTGATCATGAATGAATAGAGCCTACTTACATGAATTAAAAGCTATGAACAATCATCACCATTACAACAAATATTTGAAGTATGTGTGGTCACTTACAGACACTGAAGAAATATCACTGTCACTTTAAATTGACCAAATGGAAACAGACACCATTCATAAGGAATCAATGTCCATTTTCAGCAGCAGCCCTGCTACTTGATGTTTTCTGGAGAACTTTGTATACTGGTTATTTCTATCATAATCTGCTGGGTCTCCTCCAGACCCGATTATAAGAAGAAACATCTATGAATGTGCAGAAATGGATAGACTGTCTATGGAAATGAAGGAGGCGAAACCAAGTACTGTCAAATCTGGAATAGATGGTATTCCTGGCTTGAGAGTAAACATAAAACTTAAGGTATAAAATGTTAAAGTATAATATAAAGAATGTAAAAGGTATAGGAAATAGATGATATTGACTTGATGCTATTATAATCTAAATGATATAATTTAGGATAGAGAAATGGAGATAGAATTTCTGTAAATAGGATTGTTACAAACGATATTGATACCAATATGGAAAAGCTGGTATAAGTGTACATTTGTGTTTTGTCTTTTAAACGTTGGAAAATTCAATAAATACTATTTTTAAAATAAATTTTCTAGGTCCGAGGGCTAGAAGCTTTCAAAGAAATCATTCTAATAATTCCTAAAGTCATAGGGAATTGGAAGGAGTAGTGCTTGGACTGAATGTTCTACTCACTTGTGGTCCTGGGAAACCTTCTAATCCAGGGCGACCGTCTAATCCCGGCAAGCCAGGATCTCCCTGTGGGAAGAAGGGGGGAAAGTCCTGGTTTTCATCACAAATATAATTTAACAATTCAATTCCCATTCAAACATATTTAAGGCTTCAAAAATGATTACGGTTAAGTGCTTCAGATTTCATGAAAGCACATGGCCTGTAATGTATGGATAACATTGGAGGATGATGGAAAAAGATGCTGCCTAGGTAGGAAACAATCAGACATTTGAGGGAGGATCCCCCAATAAATTAACAGCCAGAGAAAGAAACTTAAGAAGGGTCAAATGGACCAAGTGTCAGGCCTGGAAGCCATCTTTTACATTGGGCTGTCAGGCCTGGTACATTTTATATGGCATATGAGAGATATAGTCTAAATAATATTCCTTTCTCAGAGAGTCAAGGACATCTTGCCCTGCACCTGGAGTAGTGTGACTGGGAGGCATCTCCAGTTTGGATGGGGCCTGATTGGACCATGTGATGGACATGTGGTTGCTGGGCAGGGACTTGAACTTTCACTTGGGTGGAGAAGCTTACAGATTCAGGTTTTCCCAGATGTACCAATTTGATATCTCTAATAAAATGGAACTTTGAGGAAACTCAAGCCTGGGAGTCTTCTTTCGTTAGGGGTTTACTTTACACCAAGCAGGTAAAAATGGCAGTGGGAAGTCTGTACTTCTCGACTTCCAAAATTCCATTAACAGAGCCTTATAGTAAAGTAGAATTAGCTTATTTAGTTGTGTTTCCTATGAGGTTTTCCTGGGGACGGCTAACATGGCTTCACTCCTATCAATTAAAAGCCACCTGATTTATTTCAGATTTCCATGTGAGTATGAAAAAATGTGGAGCCTTCCTTAAGAGCCATATTATGAATAGATTCAGCATCATCAACCACAGTATCCTTCCAGAGTGGCTTCAGGGTGGCTGCCGCTTTGAAGCTGTTCTTTTTTTGTGGCTGGTTCTGGTGAGTGTTGGAGAGGGGGGAAGTCTATCACAGACTCCTGCGATGTGGTGTATCTTAAGGATCATGTCACCCACTGCTCCTCCTAAATAGCTACATGAAACCGTTGGATGAGATCATTCAACAGAACTAATTGCAGTATCATCAGTGTGATGATGACAACCAATTGTACAATTCTATCCCAGGTCATGTGATGACCCAATATCTGGATGATGTGAATGTCTGGATGGGAAGAAACAAACTTAACTGAACTCTAGCAGGATAGAATGGCTTTGGGATTTTGGCCCTTCTGGATCAGATTGTGCTTATCTTTGACCATGGATTAGGATAGCACATGGGTGTCAAACTCGTAGCATCACATTGATGTCACGTGACATATTGCAATGTTTTTTCCCCTTTCGTGGAGTTGGGATGGATGTGGCCTGTGTGTGACACATCTGGCCCACGGGCCGCCAGTTTGACGCCCCTGGGATAGGCACATTCCCAATGGTGCTAGTGGCTCTTCTTCCAAGTGTTGGGACAGTGTGAGTCTGCAGCTCATTCACTCTAATTGCTTATGTATTGGGGAATGTGGTTTAGGGTACCAGAAGTTATTTTTTTTGCATGCTTGCTTGTATTTTTTTATAGTTTTTATTGTTGCTATTATGAGCTGCCCATTGTTATGGCACATAAGATGGGTGACAAATAAGCCAAACAAACAAATAAATTTCATTAAGCATGCATCTTTTTTTCTTAAAGACACCCAACCAAATAAAAGTCCTTAAAACAGTGCCCTTTTTTATTTACATTTTGTGCCATATCTTGAAAATAACAAGTTGCTTTCATGAATAGTAGAGATGAACAATGCTCACGCACATGCAAAGTCCAAAATGCCTTTTTACTGTAGGTCATTGTTTAAGTATGTACAGCCCTAATGTTTTTAATAGCATGTGAATAAAACATTTCTTTAAGCTAGCATCAAGGAAGAGAAATATAATTATTTTAATCAAACATTTTAATCAAACATTGACATGAACTTACCTTTTCACCTGGCAACCCTGGGAGACCAATGATGCCCTCATCTCCCTAGAGTTAAAAAAAGACTGATATATGACTCTCTTTTTTTACATATACTTCTTAATATACACATGAATGGGGGACACATGAATCAAGAGTGTCAATGTGTCACAGGATCTAAATCAAACACAGAAAGATAATCCATTTGCATGTCTACCTATCTTGCTTTTGGACTGTGGGAACAACAGATATTCCTGATTTATGCTCCAAACACAGGATCACTAGTCTAATAATGAGGAATGTCCCCATAATTCCTCTATCAACTACTTGTGCAAAATCTTGGGTAAGATCAATGACTTGTGCAAGATACAGCATATATGTACCATTCTTATCAGTGCAGTTTCTGAATAGAATAGCACAATCATCTATACTGCACCAGCTCTGTACACCTTATTTATTTCAAAGTGAATTTGAATAGGCTAATGGGAAAAAAATAGCATTAAAGTGTATTCTAAAGACAGGAAACGTTTTAGAATCAGTGGGTATCTGAAAGCTTGGAAGAGCAGCTTATTGACACTCTGACAGGATGGGCTGTCATGTTCACTCATAAAATGCCCCTTATCATTTGCAGAGACAATTCCAAATTAAAATAGACAAAGCCACCCTGCTAAAATAATCAAGGGTTCAGGTAATGAAGCCAAAGCATCCAACATTTTAAAACCCAGACCTTGGGTCCTGGAGGCCCTGGGAGTCCTGGAAGTCCTGGAAGCCCCTGCAAATAGAAAGAAGTTACAGCTAAATTCAGTCATTCTTCCTATGCTTGCATAGCCATATTCCTATCCATGAAAAGGAATATAAAGTGGATTACCGGAGGACCTTCTGGCCCACGAGTTCCAGGACCACCAGAGACTAATGGAAATCCTGAGCCCTCCATGTCGACCTAAAAAGTAATAGAAGTTATTAGTCAACCAGTATGTTGTCATGTAAGAGTCTTCTTTGGCTGTGTCTCTTTCCCCGCCCAACAAATTATAAATACTTGAAGGGAACAAGCCAATGAATGAATATAGGAAGGATCCTAGTCCTAATGACAGCCCAATCCATATGCTGATTTCCTAGCTTGTTAAACCCTACAAAGAGGACTGTGTTTTTCTTTCTTGCATCTTACTTCCTATTGGCTAATATCTTGGTTGAACTGAAAACAGCTCATATTCTAAACCTTTCTAATTTCAGTTATATTTTTTTATACTTACAGATCTGAGATGCGGTGTATATTTCTGATAGCTAAACTCTTCTTTTATTATCTCCCAATATTTTAGCTTTTCCTAGCTTATTGGGTTTGTTTTGTCTAGTGGTTAAGTCACCCGGCTAGAAACCAGGAAAGTTTTAGTCCCACCTTAGATGTGAAAGTCGGCTGGGTAACTCTGGGCCAATAACTCTTTTTTAGCCTAACACACTTCGCGGGGTGGTTGTTATGGGAAAAATAGGATAAGGAAGAAGTATTATGAATGTTTTCCCCTTTGAGTTATTATAAAAAAATAAAGGTAGGATATAAATTAAAAAAAAATACAAGTGTGTATGCATGTGCGTGTGTGCGCAGATGTGTCCATGTGTACACACACATATATGATATGTATAACATAACAAATACTATTCAACCCCATTTTTGGCACATTGATGTCATCAATGACACAGTCTTCCTTTCTGTGATTCTCCTCTATAGCAGCCTT